TGGCCCACATAACAAAAGTACAAGCAACAAAAGAAAGAAATAGATAAATTGAGTCTCTTCAAAATTAACAACTTTTGTGAGGCAAAGGACATGAACAATAAAGTTAAAACACAGCCCACCAAATGGGAGAAAATATTTGCAAGAAATATATCTGATGAGACTTGTATCCAGAATATATAAAGAACTCTTACACCTCAATAATGAAAGGACAACCCAATTAAAGATGGGTGACGGGTCTGAACAGACATTTCTGTAAGAAGATATACAGGAAAAGATGCTCAACATCTTCAGTCATCAGGGAAATGAAAATCAAAACCACAATGAGATATCACTCACACCCACCAGGATGGCTATACCCAAAAAGACTGATAATAACAACTGTTAGTAAGGATATGGAAAAATCAGAATCTTCACACATTGCTGGTAAAAATGTGTAATGGTGCAATGACTTGGGAAGACAGTCTGGAAGTTCCACAAAATATTACGACAGGATCCAGTAATTTCGTTCCTAGGCATATACTCAACAGAAATGAAAACATATGTCCACACAAAAACATGTACGCCAGTGTTTTTACCAACATTATTCCTAACAACCAAAAAATGAAAACAATCCAAATGTCCATCAATGAGTGGATAAATAAAATGTAGTGTATACCTACAATGGACTATTATTCAGAAAGAAAATGAAATTAAATACCGATACATGCTACAACATGAATGAACCTTGAAAGCATTATGCTAAGTGAAAGAAGCCAGTCACAAATGACCACATATTGTATGATTCCACTTACATGAGAAACACAAAATAGGCAAATCTATAGACAGAAAGTAGATTAGTGGTTGCCTAGGACTTTGGGTTAAAGAAAGAGTAGAGGGAAAAGGGGTGACTTAATGGGCATGGAGTTTTCTGCAGGGTGATGAAAGTACTCTAAAATTGATTGTGGTGATGGTTACACAACTCTTATTACACTAAAAACCACTCAATTGTTCACTTTAAACAGGTGAATTGTATGGTTTGTGAATTATATCTCAATAAAGCTGTTATTTAGAAAAATGTTTTTGCTTTATTATTAAGTTATTCTAGTGACCTGATTAATATAATTTTAAAATTATCAAATATTTTAAAATTAATATAGTTTTAAAATATTATTTTAAAATTAATATAATTTTTTAAATGAACAAAGGATTGGTATGTTGATCCAGCCTTGTGCAAACTCAATGAATTGCAGAGTAATCAACTTTTTAATATTTTGTATCTGAGTCTCAGCATGAATAAAACCCTTCAAAAAGACAAATTCATGTTTTTTTCTCAGTGAAGATTTAAATGAATTTTGAATGGCTTGGAATGCTCTCTAAATATTTTACTAGATTCCGTAATTATTTCACTTATTTCCAAAGTGAAACAATTTTATGCCATGCCACTAAGAGCATCATGAAAAGGAAATTTTATTAACATCTTTTTCTGTTCACTATAAAGTAGCAAATACATAATTAAGTGCGGCTTCCTTCAAATACTAATATACAAAAGTATGTCTTATATATTATAACTAAATAAAGCACAGTTCCATTTTTTAAAAACTCTAAGTAATCCAATAAATTTTAAATAATCCTGGTGGTGTAATGTTCTTTATAAAGATAGATATATATCTAAAATAGTTTTATAAAAACATACCTTTTGGAAATATATATATCCAAATATATGTACATATCTCCCAAAGATATATTTTTATAAAGCTATTTTCCTACTATCAAGCTGAATATTATTTATGCACTAAGGTCATATGAATTTGAAACTGAAAGGAATAGTACAGATTCTCATCCCAGACACTTCCTTCACATATAAAAAAACTGAGATCTAAAGTGGTTAACTTTTGTCCAAAATCATGATTGGGAAACCCATTGTTTGAAACCAAGTTCCCTATTCTCAAGGAAGTGATGATCTCACCATAGCAAAATTCCAAAAACAGAAAATTCACCATTTGAAAATCTATCAGCATGCAGATGGATACTAAGGTTATAAACATCTGTTGGACGTTTCTATACTTGAAAAAAATATATACATATATATATTTGTTCATTTCCATCACTGATACTGTTTTCAAGTTTTAAGCTCCTAGAAGGCTGTAATCACATATGTCTACTTAACTGTTGACATGTTCAACCTCACCTACTGTTTATCTGAGCACATATTTTAAGGAATGATGATCAATGAGATTAAAACACAATATGGTAATAATTTAATAAAATGACTTAATTACCAATGGAAGGCTTAAGAAAATCTCCATGCAGATGAGTCAATAAACTCCCCATGAGGAAACCCAGCAGAGTTACACTTTGAAATAAAGGATTCTTTACAAACCTGTCTAATTAAAGACAGCATTGGCATAGCATCCACCAACTCTACCATGACCCCTGAAAGAAACTCATGAAATTAAATAATGGCTGGTATAATGGCTTTACATCAGGCTTGGTTAGTGATCACTTTTCTTGCACCTTCTTCTTCGCATTCATATTTTCCCAGAACTTCCCTACTCCAAAAATTACTCCTTTCTCTTAATCAAACCTCCAGCTATCTCTAAAACGTCTGTTTATCTATTTCATACTAAGGTGTGAGTTGCTAATAGGTTTAAATCTAGGGAGTGAGGTCTCAAGAGGAATTCACATTTCAAAAGTGAGGTGCATTTTGCTCAAAATTCCACTAATATAAAGAGTGAGTGTGATCCTTTGCTATATCAGCAACACTGTGCCCCAACCTTCTCTGGGGGCCACCAAAGTCTCCTGACCCCCTACATTCCAGAAATCAGGGGTCAGCAAGTGGGTGCCCTGCTTGTGAAAAGCTGGTGACCTCTGGGAGGGAGCTTGTATGGAAGCAAGTGTTAATTTTCAAAATGTGACTGGTTGTGATAGCAGCAACCTCACCTCATCACAATGTCCCTTGGAATGTTTTCTGAGTAAGGGGTCTAAAAGTGATCTGTCATCACTGGTCAGTGGTACAAGCAGCTCATTCTTATATCCTTGCCCTTCCCCCCCACCCCGGACCCGAAACAAAACATCCCACTCTGCCCTCCTCTTCTCACATGTGAATTTTCATGTGTTCAACATTTGTCAGGTCTTCACCTTCAATGAAATGGTCAAGGCACCAAGAAATTATATTGAACACATCAAAAATGAATACCAGGCCCATTTCCCCATGCTTTGTAATCATAAGCCACAAAATTTGTGTTTGGAGCATGCATGTGTGGGCCTGTTCTTGGAACAACATTTATAGACACTTCAAATGATTCCCCTCCAAAGCCATAAAAGGGTTTAGTAACACACTTTAATATATAATTTCTTAAGCATTTTTTAATAAAATACAGATATATAATTATAATTATCAATGCCTGTATGTCATTTAATATAATGATAAAAGGCTAGTCTTTGAAGTGACATGATGATTAATATTTACAGTAAAGCCTAAAGGAAACAGCATTTGTACAATATTGCTAAATCGGAAAGAAAAGGTTAATTAAAAATGCTACTTGTATTGTGGTGTCATCTCAAATCACAAAGAGCAAAAAGGAAAATTCTCATCTTATTAATGCATATAGGTATAGATCATTACTTTCTATGTTTTCTCCAGATGGAAAACTCTCTTTTTCTCTTTAAATTATACCAAGCACTGAGGCTGGGATGTACTCATAATAAGGACGTTTCCCAAATCTTTGTCAAGTTATTAATACCATACACAAACATCTTATGTAGATCTACCTATTGGATATATGTCATGTGCCTTCATGCTAATTTTAAATTTAAAGATCAATACTAATTGGACAAACTGTTAGAGAACCCATGAGGAAATTTATCAGTATATATAAACAGAGTCACATTCTGTGCAAATACTGTTTAAATAGTAATCTCCCTCAATATGTAACAGCCATGCTGTTTTAAAGTAAAGAAGCAAGCCAGGAGCTTCGCCCTAGCCCCATCTAACCTAGGGATCGGTTAAAGCCATTCTGTTTGGCACTGAAACACACTGCTTTTGCTTGGCAAATATATGAAATGTAGTGAGTCAATGAACAGACACATGATTTTATCCTCAATAGACATACGGTAATCCTCTTCACCTTGCATTCTTAGCCTTTCCTATTCATCTCATTATGTGCTATCAAAGTTACTACATGCTTCGAAACCCTGTATACATTGTTTTAGGGGTTTTTAAAAAATAATACTGCTTTCATTTTCTTTTTTTCAGTTTTGAGGTTAAAAATGATGTTGAGGTTAAAAGTTTTACAGCTCCTTTATCATAATTGGTATCTTCCTCCTTAGTCTTCCAAGAGGAACTTTATAGTAATGGGCTTTGGCCTTTGCACTGCAACCCCCAAAAGACAGATTGCTGGAGATAACCCCCTGAAATTCCTTACAGTGTTATTTAACACCATGAAGGCCTAGAATCTATCTGTTTTGAGAAAGACTTCAGACAAAGGGACAAGGTTCAGGAGGGGGGAAGGTTTCAATTTGTAGGAGTTATGAGATATAAATAAGTAGCATAAATGCCTTTTTCCCTTACTTATAGACCCTGGGTCAGGAATCTCAAAGCAAGGTGGAAAAAAATCCTGAATTAAAAAAAAACAAAACACTATAAAAACCTAAGGGATAGCTAAAATATTATTCTTCTTGATTTAAAAAGCTAGACATTTCTCATTGGAATCAAAGAATTTGAGGTGGATTTATTTTCTTTTTGCCATTCCAGTCATATCATATATTCCTTCCCTGGTGAAAACTGGAATTTAAAAATGTCTATAGGACATTCTTTAATAGTCTACTTGATACTAAATAAAATGAGCAAAAAATCCAAAATACTGGAAATTTATTCTCTGCAGATGAATAAATACCTCTTACATGTCCAATAGAAAGTGAAAAAAATCACAAGCCTTTCCATTTTCCTTAAGAAAGTAATTATTATGGATTATGAATTTTTATAGGACCAAAGTCACCTAATACCTGTGATAAATAAGAGCAAGTAGGAACACAAAAGCTAATCCTTCATGATTACAGATACCTCAGTACTATTACTAAGACTTCTACTGACTTAGGTTCTCACATTGTGCCCAAGAATAACAGAAATCACAAGACTCTGTGTGCTGGTTACTGCTGGTTATCAACCCTCAAGTAGGAAACTGTGTAGAGCATTTTCCTGATAAATTAAGTTATATGTCTTAGTCTGGTTAGTGTCATTGCCAACTTTTAAGTCTGCTGTTTGGTTTTTTAAAAAGTATGAGAACTTTGGTTAAACATACTACATTTATGCCAATACTCTGTGTAACTGGGGGGAAAATAGAGGGAGGATGTGGTTTTGTAGGCTGCAAAACCCCACATACCATATACAGTATACATATGTACCAAAGATAATTACAATCTCACCATGAGAAAGTCAAAAAAACTCAGTGAGCCTTCATTTTCTATTATATGTACATTTTACAAGCTACTGATAAGTTTCTTTTCATATTGCTTTCCAAAAAGAAAAGACAAGGAAAACGAAGAAAGAATATACATTAGCCAGATTCCAATGTAGTTTAACTTAAAGGCTTCATCAGACCATATGTGCAGACACTTGAGATGATGAGAGAGTTAAGCTTCCTAGGGTCCTAGAATCAAAGAAACTCTGCTGACCCCCACTGCTAAGCAGGTGCACTCCTTCCACGGGGGGCAACATCTGCCGATCCGTCATGGTCCCACTCGGTGAGGACCCCAAGAAACTTCCTTGGGAAGAGACAATTTTCTCAGGACTGGCAGCCAGTTTGGGGGATGTGGAGAAGTTATATCCATACAAGGCACAGGGGCTGTGTAACCTGAACGTGTTATAGGAACCCTGGTGTGTCTGGTTAGCAGCAAAGGCGTTGCTGGGGGGTGAAGGCATGATGTACTGGAGCTGGGGGGACATCCCGGAAATCTGCATGGACAAGCTGGTCTGTGGGCAGCTGAAGGTGTCCCCATCCGTGCCGCCCATGGACATGTTCACCGAGGCGCTGCCGCTCACGCCCACGTAGGAAGGAGTCCTGGGCGGGGCGAAGGTCTCGCCCGTCTGATTGGTGAGCCTGTTGTAGGTCTCGGCCAAGGACGTGCTGTATCGGTTGAGGGTTAGGCTAGAGCGGGCGCATGCGGAGTAGTCAGCCGGGGCCAGACTACACAGCTGGCTGGTGTTGGGTCCCAGGTGGAAGGCTGGAGACGAGCAAGGGGAGCCGGACAGAAGATGAGGGTGGGTGGCCGCAACGCCATTCCCAGAACCTTGGAGTAAGGTGGAGGAACCTGCATTTCCTACAAAAGAAATTGAAATGTAAAGAGCATCTTTTCCTTTCAACTGTGTACACGTGAGCTAGACGGACTTGTTACAAGGGGCGGGTACAAAGACGAAAAGGAGATGGTCTCCGCTCTCAGGAATTGTAATTTAATTGAATTCAGACTGAAATATTTTAAACATAGATCCTCTCAATATTTTCAAGGAAATTATCTCCCCAAGGAGTGACTTTTTTTTTTTCCAAAAGATATTAGGACACTATCATATAGAATTTTCACATTTTCTCCCTCAATTAGCTTTCTCAAACTTTTCTCATTTTTTAATAATAAACACTACAAATACTGACTTTCCTGGCAACTTTAGAAAATATAAATTTCATCTTACTCCAAAAGTTCCATCACCTCACTTCTACCCAACCTTTTTTTTTTTTTTTTTTGCTGTACGCGGGCCTCTCACCGTTGTGGCATCTCCCGTGGCGGAGCACAGGCTCTAGACATGCAGGCTCAGCGGCCATGGCTCACGGGCCCAGCCGCTCCGTGGCATGTGGGATCTTCCCGGACCGGGGCACGAACCCGTGTCCCCCGCATCGGCAGGCGGACTCTCAACCACTGCGCCACCAGGGAAGCCCCTATCCAACTTTTACTCTTTCTTTCAGCAGAGCTTCCTCTGGAGCAATATATTTTCTTGCCAAAAAAGAAGGAATTCAAAGAAAAGAGCCAAATTGGTCAAAGACACATCCTGCCTCAAACAAACTTGCAACTTCCCACTGCAAGCTTGTGTGCATCAATGACTGTACCACTCAGGGCTACTGAAATAAGGCAACCGTCTAGAACTTTATTTTCTTTTTAATTGGAGTATAGTTGCTTTACAATGTTGTGTTAGTTTCTGCTGTACAACGAAGTGAATCAGCTACATGTATACATATCTCATTTCCAAACAGAAAATGGTTTGGTGAATCACATGCTAACACAAGAGCAGAGGTCCAGCAAGTAAACAGCCCTGTGAAACAGAGAGGGGGGTTAACCCTGCATCCAATCAATAACAGTGGTGGCGGCTGACTCCTCCCTCTGGATTTGCTGACAGATTGATGTTTGCAACTTGACGGAACTTAGGGAGAGAAGAGAATTCCAATGGGCTGGATAGGTTGTAAAACCTTCATTGCTCTAGTGACAGTGTTTTATACAGCTTCTTAAAATAATCTAAAAGCCCAATCTGCCCAATGATAATTATCTAAAACCCAGCAATGCTAAATTCTCAACGGGGTGCTGGGCAGGATCAGACGTAAAATGCCTGAGTGCAGGAGTGAGCCGTGAGTCCTACCTACCAAGTAGAGAAGGAAGTGTCATCCCTCTCCATGCTGCTCCCTCTGAGGAAACACCAGCCCTGGGCTCGTAGGAAATACTCAAAGGGGAGCTGAGGGAAGGTTGCCTCAGTGTGCCTGACCTTCTCATCATAAATACAAGAGAACCCTGCCTAGAGGCAATTCTGCTGAAGGAAGAGGAAGCTGGCAAGAAAGGGTAAACCGGGACCAGCATCGGCAATTATCTGTGAAGTACCAATTAGAGTTGTACCAACTCTACCAATTAGAGGCCAACTAGTCTACCTCTAATTTTAAGAAGAGATTTAGGGTAAAGTAAAGGTTATGAAATATATAAAGAGCCTAAAATATCCAAGACTTAACCTTTGACCACAACGGCCATTTTCCTGGCCCATCCCCATACCAGACAGAAAAGAGAGGGATCCTGTAATGGGAGGATGTTGGTAATGAGGTCGCCATTATAGCGGACAAGCAATGACTTGTGCAGTTTTCAGTGCCTGAGCATCTAGGCAGGACCTGGCTGTATACATGACCCAGGAGACTTTTTTTTTTTTCGTTTTTTGTTTTTAAGTCTTTTTTTTTGATGTGGACCATTTTTAAAGTCTTTATTGAATTTGTTACACTATTGCTTCTGTTTTATGTTTTGGTTTTTTGGCCGGGAGGCATGTGGAATCTTAGCTCCCAGACCAGGGATCGAACCTGCACCCCCTGCATTGGAAGGTGAAGTCTTAGCCACTGGACCACCAGGGAAGTCCCTGACCCAGGACACGTTGTGATTTACCTTGCTTGGGAATTCCAGGGATATCTTCAAAGGTGAGGGTCCGTAGTGAAGGTCTCCAGAATGCATATGACTCCACAAGGGCTTCCAAACCCATTCTAAATGGAAGGGTCAGGATGGGGGTGAACACAAGAAGCTCAGTTAGGAGCAGTTGGAGTTTGCAGCCATAATAAGCAGCTCAGAAAACACGGCTGGTGTTGACAGTGGCCCCCCACATTGGCAGGTGAGGAGCTTGGCACAAACAGAAAAAGAAATAGTTCAGAGATGAGCTACCATTCTGTCACCAGGAGCACAAGAGGATGGAATCCACCCAGGATGTCCTGTTAATGTTCTCAGAAAACTTAGCTGATCTCAGGGGATAAAAAGCTGTACCCTTGTACCAGGAAGTTGGGGTGGAGAGAGTCCACCCTAGCTGCTGTGAGTCCAAGGCTTTGCTCTGATCTGGAGCTCATCCTCTCTCCCTGTTACACCACTCTCCCTCTGATGCGGAGAGCTCTGCCACAAAAGCACGCCCTGTAAAGAGGCATTTCTATCCAGCATTCGGTGCCTCGGCAGCCAGCTGAGAAGAGCACTCATCCTAAGAAAACTGACTTCTCTCTCATAGGCATGATCACCACACGCAGGGCAGCCAGGGTGGGCTCTGGGGAAGAGGGGGCAGCCCTGGCTTCTCAGCCCAGCCTGTAGGATGATCACAGGAAGGTGATCTCACAGGGCACTACGGTATATGGAGCTAGTATCAGCACCAGACATTATTTTAAAGCCCCTACATACACTTAATGAATGGACACGTAGAGAGACAGGATAACTTCATTATGGGCTACTTACATGGATATATGTATGTTTTAAAACAAGGGTGACTACTCTAAATACATAATAAATGTATGTATCTCCTACCGTAAGTGATTCAGATATCACTTCCATACATCAGATAACTAAGTCCTCCAGGTCATAGAAATGAGGCCCTTCACTCAACTAGCACATTCTCAAGGCCTCACCACTATTTCCTCAACCATCTCAGTGCTAAGCAATTTGTTAATCTAGGTAACATTGTGCTTTTCATGAAATATATAGCTCCACTGTAGGAAATGTCTGATTCCTGAGTGTCAAACAGCACACGAACACCTCTTGTGATTGTCAGATACAGTTTTATTTAATACAGATAATCTGTATTTAATGCTGATATTAAAGACAGGGTCTATCTTTAATAGCTTAGACTCCACGTGCTACTTTCCCTCCATCCCCAAGTCATGAGCTGTGAACTAAGACTACAGAAAACCCCCTCACAGAGTCACACCCCCTATACAACATGGCGAGAGCTCTCTAAAGACCCATGATAAGTGACCTGTGCGTGCAGCTAAAACCATCTTCCGCTGCTTGCCCTGGGCTGCCCTGAGCACGAAGGACAGAGTCTGGCTTCGGATGGAATCGGTGTGCCCCAGAGAGAGGACTATTTTGTGGTAAGGACACTGGATTGGAGATCAGGAGAACTGGGTTGTGACTACAACCCACTAACCTTGAGTAAATGTTTGAAGCTCCCTGGACTGCAGTTTCCCACAAAGTGAGGATTGGAATACAAAGCTTTAAACCCTCTCCTAGCTCTAAAGTTGTTTACCACGAAGTGATTTTTTTCCAAACGAGACATGCTATCTGTGGCTGACTACAAACCAGATCCAAGACCACTCTACTCAGCAATATTTTATGTACATTAAAGTATTGACTGGGGAGAAGGTTGGCAGCCTGGTCAGTCCCAAAGCCCCACATAACCTGCAGGTTTCATTTAATACTCAACTTATGAACGCTGGGTGCTGTTTAGCTGATTACTCTATTTTCAGCTTGTACTAATACTCAATTTTTATGACTTTCTAGAAACAAGCTTTTTTAAGCTAAAGAAGTTAGGACACAGTTTTGTATAAACTGCTTTGTTAAACCGCATAGATGAGTTTTCGTAATTGTAGTTTTAAATATTCAGGATACCAAAGTAGTCCTGGAGTGATCTCAAGGGGAATTTACAAAGAGGTAAGTCCTGAACATCTATGGGACCTAGAAATTTATTAGCTGTGGAGATGACCATCAGTGCATTATTTGCTTTAGCAGTGTAAACTGTATGATGCTTCAAATACAAACCCACAGACCAAATTTTTAGGGAGAAGTTATTGATCCTCACAAATATATAACCCTAAGCTTTAAAGGGATGCTCTGAAGGTGACAGATCTACATGTGATCTGATTTGGACCTATTGATATTTTTCTTGAAGCTGTTGTTTCACACTGCAAGTTCTAGAAAGGATTTCAGATATTTTGCAGGAAACAGTTATAAAATATTTATTAGCTGAATCTGGACTTTTTTTTAAAAAAAGCCTTCATTTTCTCCAGTAATGGAGACTTTTTCCCATCTAGTTAAAGATAAAAGACACCTCCTGCAGGAGTGTAGCCAAGACGGTAATTTATACAAGATGCTTTTGAACAATTTCCACATTTTATCACCTCGCTAATTTATGCTATCAAATGGCCAAGTTTATTTAGTAAAATGGTTATGTTTTTCCTGAAGTATTTAAAGAGAAGAAATTTTTGTACCTTCCTGAGTAAAACATTTTATAGGGTCAACCGTAAGGCCTAACTGAAGAATGAAACTATTCTCAGCACATAAATTCTCCTTCACGTAACAAATGTCTTGCAGGAGAGCTTTTAAGGGCTGAAGCTACTGATTCCTATAAAATAGGCTGCAGAACCATAAATAGCCAAGAAGGTATAATTTTTAATTCAATTGTTTTATAAAGTTTAAAAAAATCACAAGTCCAAGTTTCTTTCTTGTCCTGCATAATTTGTTTATTTCATGTCTAGGGAAAAATAAAAACAGAATGTGTATTAAAAAGCAGTAACAACAGTGCAAGAAAACTGGGGGTATTAAAGAAATATTTTGAATTTTTTCTCATGGGCTCTTTTCTCTATTAATATATGAAAACATATCACCCCTCCCCCAAGTCCTCAGCACCAACACACCTTCCTGGTCTTACAGATAACTTTTTTATTAAAGGAAAATAATACATAAGTTAGAAATCTTTAAAGCTGACCAAATTCTCTCTTTTCATTATAAGTGTCTTTTGCATTTATCAGTGGAAAATGTTAAAATCAGATTTTTTTAAAACTGGGAATACTGATTCATAGATATTTAGCATTCCAAACTGGGCACTGAAGAGCTTTTCTATGATAAGCAGAAGTCATTTAAATGAGAAAAAAAGTGAAACTATTCATTTCACTAACAAGAAAGCTATGTATAAGTTCAACATGTTTTTCCTATACTAAGATATTGTTTAAACATTTGGAGTAAAATAAAAATTTAAAATTTTAACAACCTTTAAAAAGTGTTAGAACATAATTTATTATTTTTTGCATGTCCATTAAAAACTTTAAAAGGTTTAGAGTCAGGCAATAAACAGTAGCAAGCACCATGGATGCCATGCTTATATACTCCTGAAACAGCCAAAGGGAAGAAAAAATTTCTATCAAACCTAGCATTTGACCTCATGGTACCAAACAAGAGACTTAGTGGTTTATTTTCACCAATGCCTCTGACTTTTTTTCACTGATCAAATTTTTAAAAACTAACGTCTTTTCATTGTGCTGACTTATCTAGAATTCTTCCTGAAACCTTGTAATATGTATCTTATCATCTCACTTCTACTTATAGGCTTATCCGCCATGACTACTACCCAAAATACACCTTTAAAAATATGTTTAAAGTTATTGCTTCAAAAACGAACTGACAGTAATGTGCAACATGATAAATGTAATGAACACTGCTGTATGTTATAGAGGAAAGCTATTAAGAGAGGAAATCTTAAGTGTTCTCATCACAAGGAAAACAATTGTTTTTCTATGTCTTTAATTTTGTATCTATACGAGATGACGGATGTTCACTAAACTTATTGAGGTCATCATTTCATGAATCAAATCATTATGCAGTACACCTTAAACTTAGGCATGCTGTATGTCAATTGCATCTCAATAAAAATGGAAGAAAAAAAAAGACTGCAGCCATGTGAACCCCCAATGTCAACAGCAGTGAGGTCTTTGCTAGAGCCATCCTACAGGAGAGCCTGGACTTAGTTCCTGGATGTATGTGGCCTCAAGCCTAAATGCTGCCCTCCTGGAGTTTCAGTGAGTTTTAATAAATTTATTCTCTGCTTTAAAAAAAAAAAAAAAGAACTGAAAGAAATGCAAGAGTCATAAATAGATAAATACTCTTCGGCTATAGCCAAAACCACAAGAAGATTCCATCAAAGTATTTGGCAAGGTAGAAAAGGAGTCATCCCAGGGGCTTCCTTCAGTCACCTTACCAGTGACCACCCCAGTTACTAGATTATTCAACTTTCAGAAACTCCTCTGAAAAGCAAAGTTAACCACAAGCTAAAGCAACATAACAAAAGCCAAGCAAAGTTTTTCTGCACATGGAAAGAGACATCTAAAATGACAGAATAATCTCAATACAGCAGACAATGTATAGTAGGAATACCTGCAAATCTTCCTACAGAGTGAAGCCCTGTTATTAGTCAGTCTTGTTGATCTGCCTGCGCTAAGTTTAAGGCTTAGGGCAGGTGTTTAAATGAATCATTGCATATGAAGATGAAATCAAGTCTTTCTGCAAGCATTTGAGTTTATTCTGAGATAAGGTCTCTGTCTATACTACCTTGCCCAGCTAATCAGCTGAAAGAACTAAAAGTCTGCACTACTGCTTGATTGTTTTCTCTCTACAATTTTAAGTGAAATTGTTCCTAAAATAAGATAATCGGGGATTCTGACCTCATGTAGACACCGCCTATCAATACCAAGTTTTCAAGAAGTATTTCTGGAGTAAAGTGATAAAAAATGTCTCAAATACTTTTTAAAAACAAAGTGCTTTTAGAAACATTTAAGTCAAAGTCTTACCCTGAAAGGGCATCTGGAGAACGTTAGTCTATTATTACTATCAACAGTTATTTTAGAAAATGTTGCACTGAACTGTATTGGGATAGAATCATATCAATAAATTCAAAAACTCTTGGCACACAGACTAGGGTGGTCTGCTTTTTGATAAAAAGTAATAGAGTGGAATTCATTATTGTAGCTCTCCCACTTAGTACAAACACCATAAAACACGAAACAGAAAAAATAAACAAGTGTGTGGCTGTCAGTAGAGCCAAGACAAATTTGGAAACCAAAGAACATCAGCTGTCTTGGCAGTGAGGAGTAGTCTCATATTCTAGTTGGAAATCTGAGTGAACAAGAGTCTCTGTCCTATTTCGAAGACAGATCAATACATAATTGTGACATCACTAAGCAAATTCTAAACCAAGAGCAGATGCAGAGAGTATTTTGATTTGGGATATTAAAGCCCCTGGATCTTGAGGGGCAGGTTTCCACAAGGCCCCTTCAGAGGCAGCATGCACTGTACACCCTGAGAACTTCCATTTTCACCCCAGCATTTCACATCAACATTAACCTTAGAAATGGGCAAAATGCCACACCCAAAATAAGTTACATCCAAGGCTCAATGATATTAGTAAATTTAAATCCTCATCAGAAGTGATTTCAAAACCATGTCAGTAAATTTAACTGTTTACTTTGTAATGGAAAATTCACAATAAAAAATCAAATATATTTATCACAGTCAGAATGTTTTTCACTAAGGCTCACCTGTTACGCCCAGAGTCTCGGAAGCCTTTGGCAAAGGGATTCCTATCTATCTTCAGGCGAGTAATCTGCAGAGCAGAAAAAAAATCACATCAAGCCTTATTATAAATGACAAGGAAGGTTATTAAAAATGGAAATGATGGAAGAACTATAAGTAACTCCAAAATTAACTGTCAGAGGATGTACTGTGTTCTTCTTCCCTGTTTCTCAGGTATTTTATTATATTAGTAACAAAGCTACATGAAAATTTCAGAAATCATCTAAGACATTCATTTGCTATGAAAAGGACATTCCCCCGCCTCTGTTCAAGCTCTGTAATAGATAAAGTTTGCTTTGCTTTTAATATCCCTGGAGAAGGAGATTCTGAATCATCTGTTGATAATTTGCCCTTTGTTTGACAATCTCTCTCAACTAAAGTTCTTCCCTTTATTAACGCTGTGACATGTGTCTGTTTCTCTTGCAGTAGTGGTGATGCGGAGCAGCTAATATCCAGCTTCTATTTAACAGCCATTTATACGCTCGAATATTGTTAACCTTCTTCAGAAATAGGCAATATACTTTCCTTTAATTTTGCCTCTCCTTGAATCACCTTTATGGCTCTCATCTCCTCTTTTATCTACGGATTCGTGACCTGGTCAGAGCACTACAGTGAATGTCTAACCAGAGGTAACCATGACTCGAAGGTTCTAATGGGATTCAATCTTATATATGTAGGAGAAATAAATAATGGCTTCATTTTAACTACAGTTGTAATTTGTTGACTCACAACCAGATTTTTGCCCAGGAAGACCCCAAGATTTGAGGGAAACATTTTTGCAAGTGGTCTAATCGTCTCCATTAAAAACAACTTTTTGTAGTCATACCATCCTGAAATTGACACTAATAAACAACGTCCCATTTGTTTCTTACCAGATCTCCACTTTGCCCAAAGGAGTTAACAGCCTATTTTCTAAGAAGCACATCGTGCTTTGTTTTCTGTGTTCCCTGGTTTAGTGGAATCTCCAAAGTTAATGAACATCCTTCTTTCTTATTGTGCCATTTTGGCCAAGGACAAATGAACACTGCTGGACGACACTAAGGCAAAGAAAGGCACCCTTGGAAAGTCGTCTGCAATCCCCCTATATTATGCTGTGTATGCTCTCAACCATCTGCCAATCAGCCATGCAACACCTGAGGTAGGTGTACTCCATATGCTACTGTTTTAGTTTGTGGATAAAACTACATTATAAATGAGATAATGTAAGAGTCTGCTAAGTAATTCACCATGTCTGCCACTCTGCCATTGAAAGAATTCTTTATAATTCATTATAGCTCAATTATCTGTTCATTTAAATCATTTTTAAAGAACATTTAATAACTTAGGTGTTCATTTAAAATAGTATTTTTAAAAAGAGTACATATTTATATAATGGTGCCTTGTCTAAATATAGGTTTTTCACAATTACTATTATAATGATTTTTATTGCTGACATCACATCTGTTGAGTGCATACCATGTATGCTGTAATATGAGTTTTGTGCATATTATTTTATTGAATTCTCATAGCAACTTAGATGTAGTTATTATCCCAATTTTATGTTTCTTTTATACTGGGTTAAGTTTCCTATGATCATAAGGTTAACTGGCCGTAGAACTGGGCTAGCACCCCAGGCTTTAGAGCCCACGCTGGTAGCCACCAAGCATGGGCTGCTTACCAATTTTCCAAAAGTTCTTCAAAATAGCAGCCAGGAAGTTTAAACAAATGAACATGGTTTTTCATCATCAATTTTCTTTTCTTCTAATTTTTCCATCCTCTTAATTGATTTGTCAACATTTGTGAATTGGTGTTAGTCACCAACATGTACCAAAAGCCCACTGCAGCTCGTTTATTGTATCACAGAGGCTAGTAGAAAATACACTTTTAACACAGTTAATTGGGTGCGTTGGAGAGAGACTGACAGACAGAGAAAAAAGATGAACTGGGTAACAAATGCCTCTGCTCTTTTCTCCCCATGCATTATATTTTTCCTTTAATAAAAAACATTTTCTACACCTGACATATTTTAAGAATATCTTCCTAATTATCTCCAGCCCTTGCGGGCCTCTCACTGTTGCGGCCTCTCCCGTTGCGGAGCACAGGCTCCGGACGCACAGGCTCAGCGGCCATGGCTCACGGGCCCAGCTGCCCCGCGGCATGTGGGATCTTCCCGGACCAGGGCACGAACCCGTGTCCCCTGCATCGGCAGGCAGACTCTCAACCACTGCGCCACCAGGGAAGCCCTCTCCAGCCCTTTTAAAGGTTAATTTCATGTTCCCTCCCAAAAACCTGTATAGAAGTGTGACAACGTGAATATGAGAGGACAGGACAGCCTGGGCTGTGGGACAGGTGTCGCCACATGGACGAGAACAGATGAGCCTCTCAGCCCTAAAGGAGGACGCACAGGACAGGGTCCAAATCTCCTAAGAAGCTTTAAAACAACAGAAAACACAACAGAGAGTTTATAAAGCCTAAAATTGTTAACTGAGATGTATATAAATGTAAAGAGAAGTGGAAACCTAAAATAATTCTGCTGACCATTGAAATTTTTAAAAAAATCTACCACAGACCACATCAGCCTCAACTCCATCGCTATTTCTTATGAAAACTGGCCAGAATTGCATGGATCAAATAATTGCCTCAATTCAGTTATCCACCTGCTTGACACAGCCTTAAAGAAGTACATATACTTACTCATATAGAAAAGAAGTATTTCACTTTTCAAATCATTTCCAATTTTATGAAAGGATTACTCCACAATCGCTCATCTCTCAGACTATATAAGCATATGCATCACCCTCTATCACAATTAAAGCATATCTTGAAAGAAATAGCCCTTTTGTATATATATACTAAAATGACTGCATAGGATAAATGCTTCTGAAATATTTCCCATAATATATGGATGGTAGCTTTAAAATAAAGTGAGCTGTCAAATCCCATGCCCTGTGACGCAACTCACTTTCATATCCTACATGTCTATTTCCTAGTCAATACACATGCTTTCTAATTTTAATTATGACATCAGGATTCAATGTCTCAAAATGGAAAGTAAACCTACACTGCCAGTCATGAGACACACTCTGGTCTAAAGAAATCCTCACTAGAGTAGCTTTACATGGGGAATAATGGATAAATAATTGTTATTACAATACATATATATTCTGGATGGCAAATGCTTTATGACAATTCATAACATTTAGATACAGTGAAAAGAAGAGCTAGCTTTCAATCTGCACATGAAATTAAACGGGTAGAAAGATCCCAATTCTGAGAACAGTACCTGCTGGTTCTGATAGGCGGTGACAGTGGTGAAAACAGTTTCTGGAAAGGAGAATGCCTTCACTCCCTCCCCAGATGGAACAGGCTTGATGGGAGAAAGATCATCCCCACAGTCTTTACGGATGACATGGACTCGCGGTTGGTATTTGTGCATAGAATGAAGAATAATCTATGTCAAGGAAAGAGAAGCCAAATTTGTCAGCAACTTCTGCCTTGACTAAATATTTAACGTGCAAAACGAATCCCAGTTGGAAATAAAAATATCCAAGGCTCTGAAAGTGCCAATTTAATAAAGTATATCAAAATTGGACTGAGACTGCTAAGAAGCTGTTTGCAAAGTGTGCATAAAAATACAAACGAAAAAAAGTAATCACTATTTTGGCAGAACCCTGAGTATAACCATACGAATGTAACATCAAATTTTCTGTTTCTGAAAACACAAGAATAAATTCATAAGCCTTTTATTTATAATGAGCCTAATGGAACAGAGTCCAAAACAATAAAACTAAGAGTGAGACTGAAATGATTATTTGAATTCTACCACACCCATCCCCTAAAAATAAGTATTTGCACACCAAGGTTTTCTTCAGAAACATTTTTTCCCTTGTTGGTGACCACAACATGTCTATTCAAGGGCAAAGGGATTTTAAGGATACCCCAGGGTGTGACTTATGCGTGGCTCACAAAGTCTCTGGTTTGCCTGGAGAGCCCAGCGTCCGTGCTCCCATCATAACAAGGCTTCCAAAACCCAGATGCCTGGCGATGCAAAAGCTCTCAGACTCAGCTAGGGGAATCTGATGATATGGTTCAACTGCCTTCTGCCCAAAGACTCCACTTCTGAGAATTTATCCTAAGGAAATATTCCAAATCCAGAAAAGCGTTTCATATACAAAGATGTGCAGCGCACCATTTATAACAGTGGAAAAACTATAAACCACTGACATGAGTAGACTGGTTAGGTAAATGAAAGTCCACACAGTGGGATACAACATTATTCAGCCATTACTAACGCTTTTAGGACATTTTTAACCACATAATGAAACGCTTCTTTTTAAATCTTAAATTAGAATAAAGGATCCAAGTTGTTTTTCAACTTATCATAACTACATAAAAGTAGACAGTAAAAAGGACCCATACAAAGATATGAAGAGTGGTCACAGCTCTGGATGATGGAATTGTGTGTGAATGTTTTCTTCTTCTTTATACGTTTTATACTGTCAAGGTTGAGGAGGTGGGGTAAAGAAATAGCCCTAACCCTCTACGCCTACTTTCTGGAGATCAGCTTGGTGCTTTGTGACCACCTAGAGGGGTGTGATAGGGAGGGTGGGAGGGAGACACAAGAGGGAGGGGATATGGGTATATATGTATACATTTAGCTGATTCACTTTGTTATACAGCAGAAAGTAACACAACATTGTAAAGCAATTATACTCCAATAAAGACGTTAATAAATAAATAAATAAATAAATAAATGCAATGTGTGATTCTGGATTGGAACCCAGACAGGAAAAAACAGAGCAGACTAAAAATTGGAAAAAGCCACTTTACATTAAACAAACAAAAATACAGTGCATGGCCAAGAAGACGAGAGTGAACTGGCTTGTAGTGAAGGAAAAAAAATTCATTTGGGTTTCTGTTTACTAGTCAATGAAAAGTGGGTTCTTGTTTTATGAAGTCTTTGTTCTCTCAAGCAGATTTCTCTATATAGCTATATACATTTTAATTTCATTTATTTGTTTATATCCTTATGGAATCTCCAAAATGACTTAAGGTGGGGTATACTGGGGTAGGGTACAGAAATAGATGAGGCATGCCTATGTTTGCACATTAAAGGGTAACTGCCAATAGTAACCTGAAAATTATTCAAGAAAAATAATATACTTTCAATATGATTTATAGGAGTGTAGTATATCGCTGGAAATTTTAAGAGAATGCTAAACGAGCCTTAGTTATTCTCATAAAATAGCATTATTTGCTTTTTTTATCCATTATTTGCTTTTTAATGAACTATCAG